CTTACAGCACGAGAGGGATTAAATCAGCAGGTAAATCAATAGGGCTCTGAGTTTCTTCTCTATGATGGACATTTAATCTTCTCTCATTTACTCTGTTGCTGTATAATCACGTTATTCCAACGTATCTTAATAATTTACAAAACATACACCCACATGTGCTATGCTGTGCAGATCTAATGTTTGCTGTACCTTCCAGTGTCGGTAACACGTGAATGTTATTAGAACAGTCACAAAGTTGTTTCCTAATGTAATGTATTGTATCTGTGTTGCAATCCCCATGCCAAGACCCCAGTGTGGTTCTAATCAATTAACCCGTCATTGCGGGGAATGAAAATATCCTGGGGTTGTGAGAAGTGGCTTTATTTTGGATGATCCTGACGATTCACAGACTGTACAGAGAAAACATGCCCGAGGGGAGGTAAAACTCTGCTGAGGATCCTTTAACAAAACAGGCACCAAAGTGGGATGCTAAACTTTTTTTCCCCCCGGTGAATGGAAAAGAAAATATTTCTCGGGTTGTATTTTTTGGGAAAGGGAGAAAGTGAAACAGTCATATTTTAGTATCTCAGTTCAACCAAAGTCACTACAGTCACTGTTGATTTGAACAGTTCACATAGAATTTCAATAGTGTTAGAATAGTGCATTACTTAGAATACGCTTCGGACACATGGAAATAAGGGAAACAGATATAAAATGGAAAACAACGTGTTATCAAAGTTTGCACCAAAAGGCAAACACAATACTTTTTGACAATTCCAGTATTAGGAAGCATTATACACCTATACATTCTGGTATTTATTTCAAAAATGTTTCCCTAATCAACAATTTTCTTCCTTCGTCCTTTCGTCCTTTCGTCCTTTTATGAGGTGTCATGATGGTCTAAGGTGAATGCAGACTGGGCTTTGTAGAACTTCATGCCTACTAAACTTTCTCTTTCCTCACTATACATACTAATAATGGCAAAAAAAATTAAAAATAAAAGATTCACACACTTTCAACTTCTGAGCTAAAAAACACTATCTCAACTCAATAAGGCTCAACACACCCAGCAGAACAACTAGATGACACCATAGCATTAGTTATGTTTTTTAATCTAAGAAATCAAAGAAGCTGTTGGCAAAGCAGGAGCATGGACAAGACAGGCGAATCATGTTGTTCACCAAGTCTTTTTGTCAAGAGAATGAAAAGTGCTTGTTTTCCTTGCCGCCTCACTTACCCCTGAGTATCCCTAATTGAGGATAATTACAACATGTTTGCATGCTGTTATTGTCTCGAAATGTCATTGTTTGTGTGCGTGTGTGTGTGTGTGTGTGTGTAATTCAATAGGGAGGTATACAAGGTAGCAGACACAGCCGATCCAATAAATGTGTTTACGAACCCTTATAGAAGCTTCAGAGCAAAATTGTCATATAAAGAACAGTTGGATAATTATATGGGTCACTAAGCTCAAAAGTGTCAATAAAAATCTCTCTTTCTCATTGTGGCACATGCTCACGTACCAGTACACACAAACACACACACACACACACACATACACTAGAAAATCTAATCTAAATACTGTTCATATGGCCACACTGACTGAAAATTTGAGGTGACTGAAACCACTCCAGCTGATGGACAGTTCTACTTAAAATGCCTTTCAGTGCAAGTTGTGTGCCATATTTCCTTTTAACCCATTATTTTCACAATTTCATATTTATTTTGTATTTATTTAAATTCAGTTTAATGCACTTTAGTGGATTTTTAATAGTCTTTTTTGGTCTTTATTATCATTACCATCAGTCCTCTTAGTGCAGTCTGTCATGGCTGGTAGGATGGCGGTGTAGCATTACAGTAAATCAGCTTTCTGCTCCAAGGTCGCCATCTTGTGTTCAAACACCAAAATAAATGGACCATCTCTGTCCAACGTGTGTAGTAGTATTGTTCAAACCAGACATAATTGATGTAGTTTTCCAAACACTGCTTAGACCTTTTATATTGTCCTGTATTAGCGCCACACTGTGCCTAAACGCCATATTATTTCATACTGGCCCTTAACTGCAGAAACGCTGTAGCAACTCCACTTAGTTCTGAGGTTGAGGGTTGTGCTCAACCTCCACCCTGGGACATTATTTCTCACTCATCTTCCCCGTAGAGAAACATGCAAATGGAAAAGATTCTTTGCACACTGATCACAAGTTGCCCATGCGCACACACTTTTAGCAAGCTGGTTGTCTGCTTCCCATCAAGGCATTCCATGACTCTTGTTGTACAAACAACCGTGTTTGTTTGACTCTGTCCTAAAGAAAAAGAGAACTGCCCTGCCTTCACACAGGAAGAGACACTGAGCCAAAGCAGTCACAATAGACAGCAGGCCCCTTTCTGTCCACCAACCTCTGGCGGCCATGTTTTCACAACCCAAGATAACAGAGAAGGAGAGGAGGGTGCGAGAGACAGTTTTGGCGTTTGATAAATGACACAATCGCAAGTAAAATGTGATGGAGGGAGAGAGGGAGAGAGAGATGTAGGGAGACTTATGGGAGTGGGGGTGAAAGAGATGAGGAAAAGATACATTGCCAGGTCATCTCAATGTTTATCCACCCACGACAATGATGTGGGTCAATGAGTGTTTCTCAAGGCAGCAAGTGTTGTTTCAGGATGTTGCAATGATGACAGGTTCCTCAAGGAAAGCACCCATATTTTCTAATACAGTATATTTCTCAAGGAGGAGGGTCATTTTTGCCAAAATACATTTTAAAATGAAACGTCTCTAGCAGGGCTTTATCTACACAGCCATTTATCTGGCTTAGCTTCAACTCACCTCGTGTTCAGCAACAACTCATGACAGTCCATGATAAGTCAAGGGTCCTGAGGCACGCTGTGCCTACAAAGTGGAGATGCAACGTGGTGCACAAAATGGACAATTCACTGTCTAAGCACTAGCAGCCTAGTTGGGTGGGCTGTGGAACTTAGGCAGCAGCTGAGCCATCACCTCCGGGGCCTGCATTAACTCATAAAGATCACTGTCTCTTCCAAACACACTAAGCCAAAGTGGAGGTCATATGTGTGTACATGTGTGTGTTCATGCAGTTGTGTGTACACGTGAGACTGTGCATGTCTTGAAAGCATGATAAATTATACTTTTAGTGCATATTTCACCCATAAAAGAAGTTAAGAAAGCTTCATTTCACGGTCTGTATTAAACATGTTCCTCTGTGTGTGTCTGTCTCTCCCACTCCCACTGTAATTACAGTCATTGGTATCAGATGAAACCCCACACAGAGTTGATCTCTAGATGTGCCCATTGTGTAAGCAACATCTCACTGCTAGATTGATAGAGGATCGGAGGAGAGTTCACACAAATGGAAGAGCATTATAGTGTCGGGTTACAGCTAAGTTCTCTTTCTCTCTCGTTATCTTTCTCTCAGTCTTTCCCTCCTTTTCTTTCCCCTCCATTCATTAATAATTTCCCCTCCCTTGTCGCTCATTTTCATGTACTGGCCCACTCATTTCACATTTTTATATAATCTCATGCCTCCTATCCACGTTCAAGCTCTCTCCTTGTTTTTCTGCAAGTAATCATACACATACAGTACGTATGCAGTAAATGCATGCAAAACAAAAGCAGTACAATACCAAGACTGCACTGTTAGAGATAAGAAATACCAGGAATCTACAGAAATGAATGCAGCGAAACCACTATAGATCCATTTAAAGTGGCAGCCCTTCGTTATTGTAATGCTTTGTGTGTGTGTGTGTGTGTGTGTGTGTGTGTGTGCACTTAACAGTCATTGTAGGTGGAGACAAAACTCATCTCTAGTAGGGACATTGTTGCATTTCTCAGGCACTATTTCTCTCTCATAGGGACACATGGAAAAACACACCCATTCTAACTCTCACAGACACACACATATGAAAACATGCACACACACGCACACGCACACACACACACACACACACACACACACACACAACGAGACTGACAAAGACAGACACATGCAGACACATGCACACAGATGTCGACAGGCAACTATATTTATACCAATGCTCCAATAAATCTATCTGCTCACTTGTCTATTTACTCTGGCTTTGCCCGTGCAGCACTGAATGCCTACACAGCTTAGACAGAGGGAGAGGAGAGGAGAGGAGAGGAGAGGAGGAGAGAGGAGAAGGCAAAGGAGCCACAGTAGGGGAGATAGGAGGAGAAGAGTGCCTAATGGCATTTTCCTTCTCTTTGGCTTACCTCTCCATGCCTTAAACACAACTGCTAGCCCGACTCTGCTGCACACCACCGTGCAACAAATTCCTGGAAAATATGAACTTGTGTCAACTTGTACAGCTCAAACTAATACATGCCCACTTTTCTTTTTTTCCCCCCTTGTCTTTTCATTTCTACAGCATAAATACCTCTAAACAACACCTCTTTTTGCTGAGTGGCAAAAATAATCAAATCGGAGCAGATGTGTGGAAAGAATCTAGTTTGGTGAAAATCATCAGAAGTGAAAACCTAAATCAACCCTGCCAGTATAAAAGCATGTAGAACTCAATGTCAACTCAATGAACACAATGTCTGGAAGAACTCTGGATGGGAAAAAATGATATAAGATGTTGTTAAATCAGTCTATAAATGTGTAATGTTCATATTCATTTTGGCATGTTGAAATCTCTGATTTGTGCTGCTTCTTTTTGTTGCATACAGCACAAGAGGTTTGATGTGGAATATTTCTGTCAGAATTGGGCTCAAAGCCACATTAAAAGTGAAAACTAACACCTACACATACTGTACATGCTGTTACACCTAAACCCTTACTTACAAACAACACCAAATTTTTTATTGCATGTGGATCTTTATACTTACAATCACTTAATTTTATCAGCACCTGTATATATCAATATGGTTCAAATAAATTATTTTCTCCAAATATACTGCAAAATGCATCACTATTAAATTATCAAAAGGAGTGTCACCTCATGTATGTCCAAAACTGCACACGGAAAGAATAAGATTAAATTAGAATGTGAATGTTTTACTTTTTATTTGGATAGTGTTTTGAATTTCAGTCACAAACTGTAGTTTTATGCTAAATGAAAATGCAACATAACATCCAGATATGAAAAATTATTTCTGAAGAATACAAAAATGAAGAACATAACAAAATGTGAAGCAAACATGATAAAATGTCTTTACATAGATGCCAAATTGATCAATTCTGTAACACCAATTGACAGGTAAGCTGTTTGACACCAACACAACCAAGTTGGCCAAAATGGGTTGCTTTCTTAGTGAAATGTTTTTCTCTTACTCTTGCTACATTCTGCTGTTTCCCACCAAACCTGATTAGAATTATGGAATTATTATTAGAAAAAATCAAAATCAAATGTTCTTGGAATGTGCTTAATTTAACATATAAACACCCCCAACTGTAAGATCCAAATAAGATGATTCTGAATCCTTAAGCGTAAGACAAGATCCCACCTCACTCACTCAAAGTCAAAGCTTTAACAGAACAAGTGAAAGCAATGCAGTATCATACTTTCATCATACTTACTTTACATTGTCTGGTAATACAGCTTAAGTGTAAATGACATGACATGTTTTATGGTCTATGGGGAAACATAATTCCACAGATACTGAAGAGAACAACAAATAAAAGATCTAGTCTGCCTCTCACAGAGAGAGAGTGTCAAAGAGCAGTGTGCTTTTAATAACCAACAAAATGCAGTTCAGGCACTCAAAGATACTGTATATAAAAGGTACTGTCAACTAAAGGATACGGTGATAACTGGCCAACCTGCACACACACACAATCAATACTCTCTCAAACCCATACACGCACGCACATACACATACATTATCAAATGAAAGCTAACATCCAAAGTGCATTATTACATTAGCCCTGTATATCAGAACAGATACAAACAAAATACATTATGTACATTACCTTGATACCAAACAATGTCATGTAAATAAAGGCTTCTCTTGTGATTAAACAGAAACAGACAACCCCAAAAGGTTTTATTGCCAAGTTATTGAGGAAGTCCACGGCAGCCATCATATCCAAAGTGCTTCTGAGAGTGATGGAAGTGAGTAGTCTTGTCATCATATCTTTATATAAATAACAGTCTTTGCTGTCAGGCCAAGTCCACACCTGCAAAACATAGTGTTGACAGCATTCTTCAAATATGATAATATGGTACCATTTCCCTTTTTTGTGGAAACAAATGTTAAGACTAGCATCTTTTGGTGTTGCTTGTTCAATTAATATGCTAGGCTACAGTAACTACGAGACAGATTGCTAGCAACATTTTGAAAGATTTTGGTGTGGTAAAATGCAAAGATGCTCTGATTATTGGTAATGCATAATCTGTAAAATTGTTGCACTTTTACACTGTGAGCTAACAGTGTGACCATAGTGAGATCCTACAGGATATTGTAGGTAGAAAGCAATGTCTCTGAAGGACTTGAAATAACAGATAGCAGAAAAAGAATCCTTAGATGCTCAAAACATTTCATTATAGTCAGTGTGGCCTTTGTAGAAAAGCAGCCAGTTTGACCATTCACTAAAACCCTACCATGAACAGCAATTGTCTGATCACAATTTAGCAACTGAAACAAGGCATAACAGCTCTGTCAAGCTCCACCCGCAGAAGTGGTGTATGGGGCTATAGTATGAGTGATATTGCGTATATATACGTGTATATAAGAGTGTGCAAGGGGGTGATTTTTTGGTGTTTCCAAAACCCCAATACACAACAGTAAAAGAGTAAAGGATGGATTCAAGTGTGTTTTTACCTGCTCTAATGTAGGCTGCTTAAATATAATCTAAATAGCTTACTACCTGCACTAGTAAACTACACAAAGTTACTTCCAAGGTCAAGAAGTATTTCTTTAGCTAATTGTTCCCATTTTTGTGTCAGCCAGATACTGTTTTTTTAACCAATTAGTATAATTAGCTAGTTACAGTAGGTAAACAGTCTGTCCTAACTTCAAACTGAAACCATGTTCTACTTCTTTTCTGAAATCAGTGATCTATAAAAATGACAGTGACAGTGACGTGTGAGAATAGGAAGCTTGGCAGGGGTAGCAACAGAAAGGATAAGAGCGAACATTAAATGAAGGAAACTCCATAATAAATCAGGCACATCGCACAAGCTGAAGCCTGAAATTCTTTGGTTTTAGATAGTCAACATGAAGCTCTGCTGTTGAGCTGATAGTAGAAGTGACACTAAGAAACTGTGCCACATGTAGGTCCTACTCTTTCACTGAAATGGAAAATGTTCACATTCTTTGGTAGTTTTTCAAATAGGCTACAAAAAAAGTAAAATAGGTAGTTCAGAAAGAAATATTTTATTTTCTTTTTTACTTACTTTATTTCCCCTTGCCATTGTTTCCATGTGGTTGCACCTCTTATGTCTGTCAAAATTCCTGGGGACCCAACAGCCAGAACTGGGACAAAATACTATTTTAAATGAACCTTTTTGGGGCATTCTCTGACTGTGACTGGTGCAAAAACAGAAACAAAAGGATCAATATGAAAGTCCAAACACTATCCTTCTCTCACACTAGCCAAACTAAAGCAAAAACCTCAAAAAGTAACAGAAGTAATTATAATTAACCAAGTAATATAGGTTGTTCTCAACCTTAGTTCATCAGTTCATCAGTGACAGAGACTAAGCTCTTTTCGGACCAAGCACTTTTTGCACTGGACCACACAACACCAGTGGAAACGACACAGACAGTTCTCCTCAAACACCACTGTTTCCTCCCGGTAGCCGCGCTCACAGCACAGCAGGTCACACCCGCTGATGTCCATGGCTGTGCTATTGCACATGCGCCCCCGTGTCCCCAGAGAACCAGTTTTCCGATTTGCAAGGCAGAAATCGGGCGACTCGTCAGAGTAGATCAGATCCTGTTTATCTGGCGGCTTTATATTCTGGCCAACAGGGATCAGGGTCTTGCCATCGTTGCCGCCCATCACTTTGGAAGCGCCGTTGAAGCGCTCCAGCAGGCGGTCGCCTACCTCACGGAAATGTGGCATCTTTTTCCAGCATGTTCGCAAGGTGCATGAGCCTGACAATCCATGGCACTTGCACTCTGTCCGCATGTAGAGCTTTACCGCCTGGGAGGGGAAAGCATGGAGGGATGGGTGGGTTTAGGGTTTTGGGAGAGGGGTGGGGTGGGGAGGGGAGATGTGAACAAGGGCAAATGAGTGAGAAAAACAGAGAAAGAGAGAAGGTTGATCAAACAGAAAAAAAGAGACAAAGGAAACTTTTAAACATGTACCCTGAAGTGAAGAGGAATTGACAAATGAATAGTTCTCTGAAGATGTAATTTACTATTGTGTTTTCACAATATATCACAGACAATGCCACTGGATCAGATACACACACACACAACTACACACACTGATACATAGGTAAGATAAAAGCAGACGCTGTTCAGAAGGAATTTAACTCCCCAACCCCCCTCTTCTGCCATGTTGCCTCTGGCCTTCCTACATCTAACAAGCCTTGACAACAGATCACTCACTTATACTGCACATAATTAGCCCATCACACACACACACACACACACACACACATATCTGCCTGTTGAGATACACACACACAAACTTACAAAATGTGTATACAAGAACACACACGCATGCACAAAAACAGACCTTTGCATGCATCATAGCCTACTTATTTCTCAACGTCTGGGCATTTCTGTGCAGGTCTCATCTTTTGTTCAAAGGGTTTCTTCACTAATGCTGCAATTGGACTATATCCCAAAATCCTCCTCTCCTCTATACCTGCTTTTGACCCCAACTAAAGTGAACTTTGTAACTCCTGTTTTTCTTGTGCATGTGTCAACGTTTCTACAAGTGGGTGTAACAAACTGAGACCAGCAAAACACTGACATCTAGTAAATGTGTAAATGTGATCTGGGAGATTTACCAAGCTATATTATAATTTCACGTAATTAACTACTCTAAAAAGTTGCAAAATGTATCTCTTCTCTTTCAGTAGTATGACTTGTCGAGGCCATACTTCACTTGGAGTTCATATGAGCAACTAAGAGGAACTTTAAACTTCAACAAGGGCTTTGGAAAGCTACCTGCCTTGGAGGCTTGAAAACAAAATGTGTGGCACGCTCTTATTTTTGTGTTTCAGAAACCTGATTCTTGTTAGAATATCAGCTTACGCTGCTACACAAATATGGCCAGGGGTGATGTCTTTCTCTTTTGCATTTCTTGGAATGATGGAACATTCCACAGGACAAGCAACACCTTTGCTGCTAAAATCTTTAAAAAGTACAGTGAAATCTCAGACCGGTGTTTAGTACAGTACAGTAGCAGTGCATTGCATTTGTTTCTAACTCTACCCATTCAAAATGTAAACAGAAACCGCACAGACATACTCAGTTATTAATTCTGAAACTATTTCTTACCAGTCGCCCAGCCTCGTTGTTGTGCAGGTCAATGAGTGTCCTGATGTCGCTCTTCCCCCGTCTCCTCTTGGCATCCATAAACTGTTTTGACTTTTCATATCCAAACTCTACATCATCCCCGCAGCCCCCCCACTCCCACTTGACTCCGTCCCCAGAGGAGGAGGTTGGAGACGGTCTTGGAGGTGCTCTATTTCTGGTCGCCTCACAGCCACACTGCAGGAGGTCTCCCATGCTGCAGGCCTGGGTCACAGCATGGGCCACACCAGCCGCTGTGATGGCATAAACAAACGCTGTTTCCCGGATATCTACAGTATAAGGGAAGCAAGAGAGGGAGTTCAGTTTTCTTTTATTCCAACACTTAACCCACATTGAGGTAACAGTTATTAAAACAATAGTTAAACATTTTGGGAAATACACTTGTTTGCGTTTTTGTCAAGAGATAGATGAGAAGGCAGATACCACTTTCATGAAGCTAGCAGCATCCAGTTATCTTAGCTTAGCATAAAGTGTGAAAACAGGTGGAGAATCTCCCTTCCAGCATCTCTAAAGCCAATACAACTAACTAACTAAGCTAACCAGCTGCTTAGCTTGCAAAAGAAAGCAAATAAGCAGATTCACAAAATGTCAAAAAGGAGAGAGTGCTACGAGTGAAAGAATCTGGTTTCCATTCATCCATTCATCCAGGCATCTGTCTCTCGATCCAGCCAGTTAATATTGCAGCTACATGGAACAGGATAAAAGCACCTTCCTCTCAATCCTGGTCCATTACTACGATCTCAAGCGTCACTTGATTTGTGGTGCTGAGAGGATGGCTATTTCTCCCTTTCACATTCACACACGCTCATACACATGCTCACAAGCTCATACACACCACAGCTGCTGGATTATTTTGGGTGCAGAGCTTAACACTCCTGGCTAAAGGCATGTCCAACCACAACTGCAAATTGATTGTCTATCCTTGCCGGTGGCGTCAGCATCATTCTCACCCTCGGCTCAAGCATCTTTATCCTCAGTTATTCCAGCTATTGTCATTCACTCTACAAGACTACAGGATGAAACAAGAGAATGCATCTTTATGCTTCTAAATATCTTCTTCAATCTTGTTCCTAAATTGTATTTGTGTGCTGCTGACAGTGACTTTCAATTGTTCTACTTTGCTCTTGTCACAGTTAAAACACTGATTATGAAAACCTGATTGTCTCCATAAACTTTCTTTAATGGGAAATCTGTTATAATCAGTGGTGCCTCCTCTCCATTTCCCTTTATTTCTGCTGTTTCTCTCCCTCTTCTTCGTGTTTCTGTTTTGTTCCCCTGTCTGTCTGTCTTCTCTGTGTGTATGAGTGTGGGCAATGCGCTCTGGTTCCTTCCCAGGCTGTCCAATCTCCACATCACCTGCACATCTGAGACTTATCCCAGCAATCAAGCTCCACAGCATTTAAACCCCCGGTCCTTCACTCCAGTCTTCGCCAGATTGTCCATTCTCTCATGTGGTACTCATGCTATTGCCAACCACAGAGTCTTATGAGTGTTTTTTTGTTTCTTCTTACCAGACTTTTGCCTGATTGTGTTTTTGCTAGTGCCTCTGATCCTCACGCTCTGTGGAAGATCGCTGCCAGCCTGTCTTAGTGCCCAGCTCTCACCACACGCCCGCTCTTCAAAGAGTTCCAAGCAAGCTCACTATTGTACATTTCTTGGAAATTTGTAAATAAACTGAACTGTTCATTTTACTAATGCTCTTTGTCTGTATTCTGCTGTTGGGTCCTTGAAGAACTAAACACAACAAAATCCTTATTACAGTTGATCCAGGACAAATGCCAACACCTTTTAGAAAGCTAGCAGACCAACCTGACAAAGCATGAATCCATATATTAAATAAATCAGCATCATTATGTAGTTGTCATTCATAGCATTCATTTCGATGTCACTATGGGATGCACCTTCCTTGTGTATTCCTCAGAAGCACTTAGCTCATTACACCAATCCTGATTTGCTGGTGATCTTTGTGTCAAGCTACAACACAGACACCATTCAAATACATATTTTCACTTTGGAGCTTATATACTATATACAGCATGGCTAGCTTACCTGTCCACAGATCGGAACTTGCATCTCCATCACCGGACTCTAACTGCCTTCAATATGCTTCAACCCTTCGGTCTCACCACAGACTGGAGCGTTACCTACCCTGCCGTTTCACAGCAAGGTTTTTCTAACGAGTTAGCACACCAGCTAATGCCCAGTTCTCCTTAGTTAGCACTCCAGCTAATGAAGATGGACTCTAAGCCCCTTCACACCAGAGGAGATGGTTACCCAGTGCTTCCCTTCGGTCTGTCCCTGAGCCGGAAAGTGTATGTGTGGTGTACCGAAGCGCCTGTGCCCCCGTGTCCAGACGGCAAAGTTTCCATCCAGCTGCATATCTGGAAGACTGGCTACTTTTGGCACAGTTGGAGCAGGTGGCTGTGATGCAACCATGTATCCTCAAAAGACATCTGGTAGATTTGGGTTTAATAAAACAGCCCGCCTGGCGATGGAGAAGATGAAGGTTGTCAGGGCTTGTCTCGCGTTTTTTTGTTCCTTTTAGATTATGTCTAGGGTTACTGGGACTAATGGCATCAGCCATACTGGTGGTCTGAATCGGCCACCTGTTCATGAGAGATTTCTAGCGCTGGGTGTCTTCCCTCAGACTAGACCCAGTCAGACATGGCACACGGAGGGTAACGGTCACTGTGGAATGCGTAATGGCAATGCACCACTGGTAACATCCAGCTTTCTTGGTGTAGGGGGTGCTAATAGGTGCAGGGAGGATCTATTTGTATCAAGACACAACGTGCAGTGTCCCCTGTTATTTTCAATACACGATCTAGAAGAACCTCTTGGCATGGACGCACTTGCGCATGTTTGGCCCCTATTTCTCCTGTACGTTCCCTCACCTGGCTCCCACTCTGTCCAGGGTGTGGGAGCACCACCTCAGAGTGATTCTAATAGCTTTGCACTGGCCAGCAATGCACTGGCTACATCTACTCCCGTGCGGACAGCCATGGCAGCTCCCACTATGCAGGGACATGCTATCACAGACAGGGGGGACAGTCTTTCTTCCACACTCAGAGCACCTGGCACCTTGGGCCTGGCCCGTGAGTGGTGTAATTTGAGTAAGGTGAATGAATGAGAATGTGATTAACACTATTCATAGCACCAGGGCCTCCTCCACCAGGTCCCTTTATGATTGTAAGAGAATGGAATTTATTTTTTTCAGTGCCTGGTTGGTGTGATTTTATCATTCCTGCAGGACTTGATTGACAAACAATTAAAGTGTACCTGGCAGCAGTTGCTGCTTGTTCTGGGGTAAAACAGCCAGCCAACATCCTTTGGTCTGCCGTTCAATGGAGGGGACCCATCGGCTACTCCCTGTTTCCAGGCCATTAGCCCGCCACATGGGATCTGGCACTGGTTTTGGATGGGCCCTCTGGCCCCCCTTTTGAACCACTTGAGTGGGGTTGACTTGAAACATCTGTCTCTGAAGGCAGTGTTGTTGCTCCCTGTGGCATATGCGAAACAGGTCAGCAACATTCACGCGCTTTTGGTGCATCCATCATGCACTCAGTTTGCTCTAGGGCATGTCAGAGCGTTGATAAAGCCTAACCTTGCCTCTGTGCCCAAGGTGGTTGGCTCATGCTCTCCCAGTGACCTCATGGTGTCTTTATCATCGCCTTTTTCCTCATCTGAGGAACAGTGGTTCCCTGCATATTTATATGGACAGGACTTAGCGGTTTCTGAGAAGTGACTCCTGGGCTAGCTCGACACCACAATCCACAATTGTGGGGTCGATTGCTCTAGCCTAGTGTCAAAAATAACGATATTTTGAAACATACTGATTCTGAATATAACAATTTTAACATTCATTTTCCACAGTATTGATCCTGAAAATGCGTTTCTCTTCTCCCCGACAGCAAGCTGATACACACACCGCTGCAGTGCCCACACAGCCAAGCCTCCTGTCACTTACAGCGCTTTCTTCTCGTCTCGTTCCAGTTGAGTCGTGTCTTTTTCCCCGCCAATTTCGACAAGTCCCGCGCCACTCTATTTGGCTAGTACTCGTCACTATTGATTGGATGCTGGCAAAGGATACAAAAAAGCCCATATGAAGGTGACCGTACAGAGCGGTGCTAAAGAGCAAAGCAGTTGCAGGACCGACACGCAGTCCACTATAAACAACCTGAAGATGTTGGAGACGTCTCCCCTTTAAGCATTACAAAATTATTAAACAAGATGGCCCAGTACTGTTTTTGTCCTGTTGTTAGCATACCAGAGATTTATAATTCTCAAAACTAAGCTAATCCCCCTCAGAGCTATCAGACCTGAGGAATCTCAGACAGCAGAATTTCAGTTGATAGGAAATACACTGAATGAGGTCAGAAGTAAATTAACATAGTATTACCTTTACTTACAAAGATAAGTTGATAAGATAATTCAGTAATCATACTCAGTAATTTGATCAATGTTGTGCCAATTTACCCCCGTGGTATCGACAATGGTCGAGAATATCGAAGTTAGAAATTCCAGTATAGTGAGCTGCATGCTGAATGCCGGTGGTTGCTGAGATGCTGAGATAAGCTTGTCTGGCAATACAGGAATCCCCATATCCCATAGTGAGGCACTGAAACAAATGTTATGAATGTGAACTTCATGCCCCACGACGCATCCTGTACGCAGGATAAGCGGTTGACGATGGATGGATGGATGGATGGATGGATGGATGGATGGATGGTGAACTTTAAGTTACTTGCGCAACCCCAGTTCTCAGAGTAGCATGAGTGAGATGTCTCACCAGACAGCCCTTCTTGCTGGGGTTGAAGTGAGAAGAGGCGCTTATTTTGAATGGTGTCTGCATTGTGGCATAAGCTATACACCGCAATCACCAGCCAATCAGGATTTGCGTAAAGAAATAAATGCTTCTGAGGAATATGCAGGGAGATGCATCCCAAATAAACTTCAGGGATATCAATCTGTCCAGTTAGGAAGAATGAGCGATTGTAAATTAATGTCACTTGGTGCAAATGAAAGTGATAACAGGTGCACTGGAGAGGTAGCAGCAAGACAGCCCTCACAAAGGGAAGGCTTTGCAGGCAGTGGTCACAGTCAATTGCTCTCTCCTTATCCTTCCTGACTGATTGTTCTCTAGTTTTGCATTTTGCTAATGTCCTTGTCACTACTGGCAGCATGAGGTGGTACCTGCAGCCCATTCAGGTTGCACAGGTAGTTCAGGTCTTCCAGGATTGCACATTCATGCGTGCCGTCGCAAGAAGGT